AAACAACATAATCCGGTTCAATCCAGTTTCGAGACATCCTCACAGCAACATCAGGGAAGAATCTGTATAATTCGCGTCCGTCCTCGCTCGATTTCCAGCGTTCCTGCCAAATGGCAACGATATCCTCCTTAATGGCTCGCCTCAATCGCCGGCGCTCCCCAGGGGCCAGCTGGATTGCCTCCTCCGCAAATCTTCCCGCACGAACAACCTCCAGGTCGGCAGGGAACACACCAGCTAACACAGGTAACGCCGCGGTGCTGCACGTCCTGTAGGCCTTCGTTAATAAAATCAGCGCCGGTCTCTGCGTGCTCAGCAACGCTCTTCTGACAACATAATTGGATGAGCGTCGGCACCATACTGCTGCAGCGTAAGTCAAAACAGCCACATAGGTCCCTGAAAACAGGACTCTAAGGGCCGGGAACTTCACACCCCATGTCGATGCGGATACACGCGCGACTTTGCCGAAGCATTTGGAGGCGTTCTCGCCAATCAATTTAGCATGCGGCGCGTAGGACCTAGCATCATCCAGAGTCACACCCAACACCCTAGCCTGAGAGACGCTCGCTATCGAAACTCCATCTAACTTTACTGTCGGCGACCGTTTGAATTTCCCTTTGTAAGTCATAGTAAGGCATTTTCCCGGGGAAAAACCTAGGCGATTCCGGATTCCCCAAGCGGACATAGACCCTAATATGGACGCGGATTTCCTCTCGATCTCAGCACGCGACGAAGCCTCAACAACGATCGTCACGTCATCGGCATACGCAACTACGTGGACTCGGTCAGGTCTCGGCAGCAACAGGAGGTCATTTAAGAGGAGGTTCCAAAGTGTCGGGCCCAAGACTGATCCCTGTGGACATCCCATGGTGCAGTGTTTCCACGACGTCTGTCTCCCAACAAAGAGAGCCACACGCCGGTTCGTGAAGTAACTTACCAAGATTCTATATAGATTCGGCGGAATACCTGATTGTTTGGCCTTGACAAGAATCATTGGCCACCACGCGTTGTCGAAAGCGCCAGAGATGTCCAGAAAAATCAGCTGCACGTACGGAGATACACTACTATCTGTAATGGCGTCAATACGCTTGAGCGCCGTGACCGTGGAGCGGCCACGGGTAAAACCGTGCTGGAACTCCGAGATGTGACGGTGCAGGCAGGGAGCGCAGTAGATAATGAGGCGCTCCAAAATCTTACCAAGTATCGGCAACAAAGTTATCGGCCTATACGCCTTCGGATCTGAAAGAGGCCTATCGTTTCCCTTCGGCAGTACCACTAACTTTCCGGTCTTCCAGATGTCCGGAAAGACCCCTTCGACAATACACAGTCTATACATGGTCAGCATCTCATCAGCCGCAGCCTTCCAGGTCCACTTGACCATTCTGGCCGTGATACCATCCGCACCCGCGGCGGTATTCGGTAGCTCGCTAATAATCATAGCGAGTGACGACTTGCTGGGCGCCTGACAGTCCTGCCCTGACGGGGCAAAGGCTGCAGCAACACGCACATCACGGTGGTAGGAGGTATCCGTCTCGGGCCGGTCATCCGGGTACAGTGAAGCGAGCAGCTCGTTCATGGTGTCACCGGAGTCGGCCGTGTATCCTTCTAACAGTTTTAGGCCATTAACTACGTTTGGTGGCGGGCGTAAACGCCCACTCGCCATCCGGTATGCTGCTCCCCATGGGTCGTCGTTACCTGACTCCGCGATTTTACGATAGAAATCCATCTCTGCCTTCTTCATGGCCTCCTTATAGCGAATACGAGTGGATCGCAGTTCGTTATGAAGTAGCTCTTCTTGGATTCCTCCCGCACGACGTGATCGCTGCCAGTTCCGACGAGCTCTGTTGACATTACGGCGCTTCTGATCCAGCTCCGGTGACCACCATTCATACTTGCCGTTGTTTGTTCGTGCTCGATACCCTATTACTTCACGGGCTGTTCGTAACAGGATTTCGGTGAAACGTTCACAATACAGTACAGCTGGAAGGCCGGGTCTCAAATTTCCTACTCTCACATGTAGTATAGAACAAAACCTGGACCAGTTAACGCCTCTCACTCTAAAAGGTTCTGATAACACGACATCTTCCTTCTCACCAGATCTAAATGACTCACACTTATAGACATAATCGAAGGTAATCATCTGATGGTCACTCAAACTGGAGCCTTCATGCACGGTCCAGTTGCGTATGGTTATTCCTCTAGTCGATAGTGTAAGATCCACGTTAGATGATCCATTAGGTCCACTGAAAGTTGGCGGTTGGCCAGGAGCATTGTGTAAGAGAAGGTCTCTTCCGAGTATAAGTCCCTCCATGTGATTCCTTCTATGCTCCGTGTCTCTCCCTCTTCCCTCATACTGCCTCCTTTCACAATACCACATCGGGGAATGCGCGTTGCTGTCCACTCCAATGAGCACTGATTTCCCTGCTAGTTGCGACAGCACACGTTCCAGATGTAATATGTGGTAACTGATATCGTGTCCATATTGGAAATATGCAGAGACAACGTGGATGCTGACTTCCTCATACGCAACATGGGCAACAAAGCAATGTTCTGTACACAAGTTATGCAATATCGTAAACGCAATGTCTTGGTTAAGAACGAGGACTCCAGCCATCGGCTTATCTCCACACTGCAGAAGACCGGGTAGGCTCCCAAGCTGTTCTTGGACAAGAACAAAGTCGAGCCCGCTGATTCTCGCAATCACCGGTAGTTCCGTGGTGGTTTCCTTACAGCCGTTGAGATTTAACTGCCCAATGCGAAGTATCCTAGATAGTCTATCCATACTGCATCATATTGACGGCCTGCTGTTCTGCGTGAAGCCTTGCCGGACAGTTTACCGCAGCAGTTGCGTGGGTATTCGCGTCCTTCCGTTTGAATCGGCGGCAAGTGGCACAACACTTCGTGGCTGACTGGCATTCGGTGTTTTTATGTCCGGTTTCGCCACACTTCCCGCATACGGTTTCCTTGGAGCGACAATACTTTTCCGGATGGCCGTACTGTTGACATTTATTGCAACAAGTTGCACGTATATGGTCGCTGACCTCAGCCTCGTCCCAGCCAATGTAGATACGGCCCAAACGCACCAACTTATCACGGAGCGGCATGCTACATTCCAATACGTACAAGAACTTTTGGCCAAGAGTCTTTTTAAGGGCCACCTTGCACGATTTCTGCAGCTTTTCCAAGCTCCATTCAGGATCGTCCGCCAAGTTTACACGATGCAGATCGCTAATCAGATCTTCGTCACTGTATGCCGACCTTAAGTAACGAAGTGCTACTCGCGGCATTCTAGCCTTTGGATCCGCAACTTTAAGGCTCGGTGGTGCAGCAGCTTTAAGTTTCTCTGCCGCCTCCGCATTCGCTGTCCTCACTACTACCCCAGAGTTCCCGACCTTGCGTACACTCTGTATGCGAATTCCCTCTGACCCTGGCTTAATCGCATCCTGTAATGCCTTTTTTGTATCATCCGCGCTTTTCATGGTATCATCCGCTGGATAAAAGATGACAGCCGGACCCTGCGGTTGGATGGCAATTGGGACCTTTCCTTTCGGCATCTTCAACGCCCCAGCATAGCTGGGAACCGCCGGGACAGTAGACGCTGGCACGGTTGGGCCAAGCTCCTGAGCAAGCAATAGTTTCTTACTGAACTCCAGTTCAGCGTTCGTTGCCTGCATCTTCGTAGCACTAAGCTGATGCTCCGTTTCTGCCAGCTTAAGCTCTAGTGCTGCTACAACCGCCAGAATATCCTGGCTGTGAGACGCAACGGTAGTCTTATCCGTAATATTCAGTTTGTTAGGCGCATTCGTCACGATTGCGATACCCTTTATGGCCTTGTGCACCATGTCCAGAAGCTGCAGTTTGGTCATGTCGTGCAGCTCTTTATTTTCCGTGGGCGTAGACATAACTCTTGGCGGTTGCTGCTGCTGAACTGGGCGAGGCTGAGTCGTGAGGATACCTCCGACTGGTGGAACAGATTGCTTCTGCCGTTCCGTTATTCTTCGCCGTACAGCCTCCTGCACCTCCTCAGGCGAACCTAATGTCCTCTTTACAGCTGTACTCGTTGTTGGAGGGCATGGTGATCGGGAGCGGGAGGGGACGGGGGGGGTGGTGAAACCGCTCGGCGGCGTTCGGGCCAGAGAAGCGCGCGGACTAAAGCCAGACTCTCTGCCTAGCTCTTCGAGGACCCTCATCTCCTCCTCTTTACGGGCCATCTCCGCTTCGAAAAGCTCCCTCTGAAGCCGCTGGGCGTCATCGTCCTCCTCCATGACGGAGGAAAAAGTTCGTGTCTCTCGACTTTAATTAAAAATGACACACACAGAACAAAGTTATACAACTGCGTCTAACGGAACGCACGTCAGTGACACCTGCCAAAAGCGACAGTGACAGCCGTCAAAGTCAAAAGATGACAACGACAGCCGCCAACACCACCCCTGACAGCAGTCAATGCACACGTCAGACACCGGCACAGAAAACTTTTTCTAATTTTACAAAACAAAAATAATGCGTGGAACGGGACGCTGTCACCCGCAGACGCCAACAGTGACAGCCGACAGGTGAGTGACAAGTGACAGCCGTCAATGTCAATGACACTGACAGCTGTCAACGCCAAACAAACGCCAACCGCACTGACAGCAGCCGTCAAGCGACCACGCGGCCGTCTAACCTCAAATGGAGGCACGTGGTTTGGTAAAACTAACCTCCAAAGCACGTGTATTCGAGACGGTTTCCACTTAATATTAATTAATATACAGTACTTACAGTAAATCTGCTCGCGTAATTAGCCACTTAGTACTTACGCAGGGGTTGCAACGGGGTGTGCAACCCGAATTAACCCCAAAACTGGTAGTATTTAGCCAAACGACACTCACAGAATTTTATAAATATCACAGATAATACAAGATAATTTAAATACACAAATAAACAGCAATAATGCTTTGATAATTTCAAACGAATTCACCAAATTTACCACAGCTGAAATATATGAATATAGAACTATAATAAAATAAAGGCGAATAAACGCTTAAACACTTCGAGCACACGTCAAAATTGATACTCTACATGCAATCATTAAACTAAGTAAATGTTTTTAAAGTACGGTCGGTATATATAAGTCTTTTACCCAATTTGAAGGAACTAGTCTATTTGATGAGTTTTGAGGATCCGGACGAGGATCAGCCCATACAAAAAAGTCTTCATAGCCCGGCTCTCTTGCTTCAGATCGTTGAAAGTATAATGATTCGGTACTCGCATGGTTCGGCACATAGTCCAATAGAACTTTAATGCCTGGAAAATTAATGAACTATTTTGAATTATTTGATAAAATACAAAACTTTGATTGTAATTATAGCAAATAATCTTACCAAGTTCATGTGCTTTTGCTACCAATTCTTCGAAATCTTCCATAGTACCGTACTCGTGGTGGATTTCATAGAAATTACTGATGTCATAACCAAAGTCAATCATTGGTGATTCAAATATAGGAGACATCCATATGGCATCAATTCCTGTTTCCACAAAATGTTCCATTCGGTTTGTGATGCCTGCAATATGATTGGTATATTATTTATTTATTTTGATTAACGGTATTATTCGCAAATGTTGTACAATCATTTTCGTAAGTATATTGGATTGTACTTAATTTAAAAATTTTAATATCGTGAGAAAATTTCAACTCTACTTCTTAAAAATATAGATGAGTGTTTCACACGCCAGTTTCAAGGTGTCGCCATCTTTGATGTCCTGGGTTCAAGTCCCGCTTGGATTAATGTAGAAAATAGACTTTTCCATATTGTCTCGGGTCTGGGTGTTGTGGGATCTTTGGTGTCTCAGATACTCCTTAATACTCCTTAATCCTTAAAAATGTTACATTAATTACCTTTTAAATCGCCAATGCCGTCTCCATCACTGTCTTGGAAAGATCTCGGGTATATCTGGTAAATCACTGCATGCTGCCACCAGTCCAAAGGTATAATCTCCGGCGCTTCTATTGTTGGGGTCCTGCTGGCCAGGATAGCCCAGGTGACGCTTCCGACCACTAAACCAGTAACCAGTAAGGCCCCGATACCAATAAAGACGTTTTTGCACAGTGGTGTCATCGTGAGTGATCGTCACTTTGCTATGTACTGTATTGTTTTTACACCTGTATTTGTTATCTAGGTTTATCAAAATGGCAATTTTATACGACTTATCTAATTACAGGCCGTTGTATCAGAATTTTTATAGTTACTTCAAAAGATACCGATAGTTAAACAAACAAGACAGTTAAAAAGATTGCGATTACGGATATAAATATAGATTGGATATGGATTTGCGAAGTTTATAATTGCAAATGGTTGTAATTGTCAATTTTGTAATCTTTTATTTACATTGTTCTGATTACACGCCGGGTTTCTGCTGGGTAGGGCGAGGTCCGAGCGGCACAAGACCGTTAAGTTTTTCTCTATTCGAAGTTCATTACTATTTCTTTTATACATGTTCCCGATTTACTTCTCCATTCCACTCTCAAGTCGTATATTAGTATGCCATTATTTCATCTGTCTGTCTCCTGCTTTTTCAAAGACATATCGACGAACTAAAATATTAAATATTGAACAATGAATATTACAATGAAATTGGAATTTTAGATTTCATATTTCAGAATAGCCTCTTGAGTTCGGTTATATCTTAAGCGGATAACGGACATGAAGTATCAGCGGTATATATTTTTATGATTACATTTTACTGCTGTTCTTCGGTATGGAAACGGCAGGTATAAATACCTACAATTTCCATACTTATAAATAGCGAATGCCACAAAAAGGACAGTAATATCTTTATGAATATACCTATAGAACTATGATAACCTGTTCAATAAGGTGGCAGTGCTTAATTACCGTTTAAACCTATGGAAAATAGGAAATTGCGTCGAGATTAAATTAAAATATTAAATAAATATGTTGTCCACATTGGTAAGTTTCTACTGAAGCTTGAAAAAGTTGTAAGCTATATTTTTAAATATGCCAATCTTGTATAGTAAGCAGTGGACTGACATATTTTTTAGGTAAAATCTGTGTTTCTATAAACAGTTAACAGTATAGTTGATAACACTCAAAATAACAACGAAAAAGTTTTTTTTTTATTTCAATGAATCGGTTATTTTGTATTTTTTTTCGTCAGAATGTTGTTTTTCTAACGTCTCTGAATTTGAAACTGCTCCGTCACTTCGAAGATTCGATAAAAATTCTGATTGATGGCACACTCCACCTAGAGTGCCGATTCATCAATTGTTCGCACGTGGGGGTCTAATTAGGGTTGCCAATTCTACTACTTGTTTTACAATAAAGTCTCAAGTAATACTTTTAAATTACTTGGGACTTTATTACAATACATTTAAATCTATTAAGTATAAAAATATTTGTCAAGTAATAAGACTGATTCTAATACCAGATAAAAATGCTTGAATTTGAGGCGCTCCTGTCATGTTGATAGATGATTCCTTTTATACTTATTATATTTCGCATTTAATGTACCGCTTATTATGTCAACATTATTAGGTCAAACTATTTTTTATTCATTGTTTTAAATATTTTAATAGAAAAAGATCTCATAATCTGATAAAGTCAGTCAGTCAATATATTAAGATTTTTTCTTGAAATAAATATAAACATTTTATTTCTGTATTCTGAACGAGTAGTAGGACAACTGTTGGAACATTCAAAAGTACTTTTTAATTAGTTTATTTATTATATTGACTATGATACTGGGAAAATATCCCGAAAAAAAAACTTATTGATTTATATACATTTTTCTTCAATTAAAAGAGCTTCTGTCTCAAAATATTAGGTGATTTGTCTTATTTGCTTTCTTTAAAACCGTATTCGGATTATTCCAATTATAAAAAAATGATAAAGCCATAGAATACATATTATTATTAAGAAAAATGCTTCAATTTTTTTACAGTCACTTCTTCTGTCCCAGATGGGATTCAAATGCCGAATGAAATTTATCAAATACGAAATGGGGCACTGAGCGAATTGTGGAAGCAGACACATAAATCACCATTCTGCTTAAAACAATAATTTCCTTATGTCCCGGTGCAAAATTAATACCTGGTTCCCTCTTCCAATTAACCAGTTTGTGATTTTGTCGTGGGCAGTTAATAAAAGGTGTCAGCCCTGTGCGTAATCGCCTACTCGACTGTTTCATTAATTCGTCGGGTGTCGGAATTAGATCGCTGGTCGTTGTCGGCTCGTTTTCGAGGCGCTACCCTTTTTACGCCGTACAGTAATTAATCACCAATTCTGTAGAAATAGGCCATACATGTTATTCGAAGGCGACTCTTTTGAACCACACACAGTGAATTAGGTATGAAGATGTATTTTATATTGCGATGTCTTTTATAAAGCTCTAAAAGCTGTCCCCTTGAGGTACGCTATCGGCCTATAAATGTTCCGCGTGGCAGTAAAACATTTTGGATGTTCGATTATTTTTGCGGATTAGTAAAATACATATTGTGTTGTGTCTAGTATATCATAGTATAAAGGTGATTTCTATACTATAATAAAAATGTAACTGATCGATGTCTGTACATTGAAGATATATGAAAAAAAAAAACTGTTATAAGGGAGATTTATAACCGTAATAGAATACAAAACAATAATTTTTATTTTTTTGTCTGTTTGTCTGTGCGTTTGTGCACGATAATCTCAGAAATGGCTGAACCGATTTAAATGCACTATTATATTGCGGTATTCTTCCGTTAACATTTAGTGTCAGATTTATTAGTGTAAGATATATATACGGTTCATAAATAAAAAAGTTATGTCAATTTGAAGTGACGTGTTCGCCAAAATTGCTATGAAATATTAACTGTTTTATTAAATTCTCGTCTTTGATATATTGATCATCATCATTAATTCTTTCACAGCCAAACTGCAGGCCTCAGCCTTTGTTTAATAGTTTTTGGTCACCTATCCCATGAACAACTCTTGCGAAAATTGCTTAGCAATAGCGATCGTGCGTAACGGCGCTTATCCGTAGCACCACCGAGCTATGAATTAATATTGTCTATAAAATGATAATTTGTATGATGACAAATAAAAAATAAGATACCAAAATTTTGAAGATCAAGATGTCTCTTTAAAAGGCTACTATTTTCAAAATCCCGAGTGCTCTTCCTAGATATAACGTAATCTTGCTGAAATCCGTAATACGATTCCGCCGCATCAATACGAGTATCAACAATGTTCTATAACTGTTACATCATGTGGAGGAGGGTCCATATAAGTTTTTGGAGACAAAGTATGTTCATTAATCTTGTCATATTTCCCACTATTTTTCCGTGTGTTTTTATACTCTTGAATTCCCACTTTAGTTTCGAGTTATGGGTAGTTCACGAAGTTTCTTTCATCGACGAGTTAGAAAATACTGTTAGATAAGTAGTTCCTTGCAACGGCATGTTTTTTCTCATGATATACAGAATTTAGATTGTTATTATATTTCATCCATTTCTCATTCATAATGCTTTACTGAAAAATGTTTAAAAAATCCATTGGTCCGTCTCAGGGTACCAGAGATCAAGTGGATTTATTATGCATTTTTGATTAAGAATATTTAGATTATTGTTCGTACTCATTCAGCCTCGAGACGAAAAGAGTCGATAACTAGTCGTTCCCTGACTAATTTAAAACAATTTGTGATAGATATTATGTTCAATATTTTTTCCTTTCAAAATCATACTTGGACGGTTCGCATAAATGAAAAAGATCTCTAATCCAAGTTTCCTATCGAACTCATCGACCTTTTGATTACCTATAAAGCCATTAACGTCTAATAGCTAATTAACGTCTCCATATAATTCAGATAAAAATATTATGTGGCGTTTATCTATACTAATATTATAAAGCTGAAGAGTTTGTTTGTTTGAGCGCGCTAATCTCAGGAACTACTGGTTATTATTAGGCTATATAACATCACGCTGCAACTATTAGGAGCGAAGAAATAATGGAAAACGCGGACGAAGTAGCTGGCGGCCACTAGTTTAACATATAAACCTTCGTCTTGAATCACTGTATATGAAACTCATTTTAAAAACTCTTTTGTTGTATAAAAGATGTCAGCCGAGAGCGGGTAGCGAATTTGTGTTATACTATGTATAAATTTGACTAACATGAACGGGTATGGGTAATGGAACGTCGAAAGGAAAAAAATAATAAAAAGGAAACTATTTTTTCAGGCAATAAATATTTTCTTAATTAAATTATATTTTACAGATAATATTATATTAAAGACATAGTGATATTTCTTAGATATTAACATATATTATTTTAATTTCAATAGAAGTTTATTTATGTAGGAGGAGCTCGTAGTACTATAGCCTCTCCAGCTGCCAGCGTCAGGTCGTTATCTGAAATGACGTCCCTGGAAAAACAAACAAAAACTAAATTAAAAGAATTCATCCTTGGCTTTTTATATTCGCATTTATCCTCAAATCAAACAAAAAGGAACAATAAGATTCAAGACGAATGTAATTTAAAATTTTCCATTCGAACTTTTTGTCTTGTTTCTTTGAATATTCAGAACCGGGTTTTATTTCTAAACTAGTTTTCCTCGCGTTTTATAGTTATTTTGGGCAGCAATTTTGAAAACGCTATAATAAACATTCATGTTCTGATAGGTGAGTTTGTGGAGGTATTATTATACTATTGTATAATCGAAAATATTATCGAATCTGAACTAATCATTCTTCTCCTGAATGTATTGTGAATTATTGTTTTCGATTATTGGTGTTAATGTACAATAAATAATTATTCATTCATATGTTATAAAAAAAAAGATGTGTAATAAAAACTGAAGAAAATCACAATGCAAACACTGCAGTCTTGTTTTCCGCTTCAATAATGGTTTAGGGGAGTTCCCGGAAATGATATAACCTGCATGGTGTAGAAGTTAGATGTCAGTCGGTAAAAGGGAGCAATTCGAATGTGTTATTGTTGTCTTAAGGTGACCGTCCCCTTTGCTTATACAAGTTTTCTGTTTACAGACACCCAACCGAAACACACGATAAAATGGGTCGTGCTAAACCCTTAATTTTAGTTAGAATAAAGCAATTTAATGCTGTTATTTCTAGCAAAGTATGGGGATGTTGCTGTTGTGTTATCACAGTAGCCGTGAAAATATATTAAAGGCTTCGAATCAAATTAAAATAATTTATTAAGTCTAGGCTGTTACAGGCACTTGCGAAAATCGAAACTCTATGCCATCTATTCCTAACGCTACGGCGGGAGACATTGTATTCTTTTACTTAAGATTTAAAATATTTTTCATCAGTAAAAATATGTCCTGACTTTGTTTTTGTATGTTAAAGTTTTGGTTATTTAGAATTCCTGCTAATAATGTAGGTAGACTTTGGGATTATGGGAGTTTTTGTAAAAGGTTCCACCGGAAACACAGACTACCTATTCTATATTTTTAGCCCCATGAAGAATTATAAAAATCTTGACAATAAGCTGTCCTTTTTTGTGTACGTTTGTTTTATTAAGTTTTTAATCAGAACACAAACTTTAAATGTTTGTTTGTAAGAAGAAAATAGAGTTTTGTAAAAAGTTACTTTAAAGGTGATACAACCATTATTGCCTTCCCTCATAATATCTAGACATTATTAATGTTTTATGTCCGTTGGATATAAACGTTTATTTTGTAACAACTACATACCCTTCTACCCTAGTAGAATTTATACTGGAAATATAAACGGTCGCTGGTAATCTTAGGTGTGTCACTCTAGAGAGACTGACTGTATCTGAAGCTTGGCCGACATTGAACAGCAGCACCCAAGTGTCGTAAGTGCGTAAATTTCGCACGATGAAGAAACTACTGTCAGAGAAAGCCCTTATGTCATAATCTCCGTGAGACAGAGTCTTCTCCTTTCTCATCTTAGTCAGCGCTTGGTAAACCTGAAATAAAAAAGGCGACCCGCTGTCCATGATTTTTAATTTATATTGTTATCGCGAAATCTATTTATATCTTTCTAAACAAATAAACTTTAATTAATTAGTTGACACTTAGAAAAGTTGGCGGCTTACGCAATCAGATGACAAATTCTTGGCGGAAGACTTTGTGCCTACAAAAAATAAACATAAAAACTTAGCTCTTGTTTTTATTTTATATACAAAGGTTTGAGTTAGAAAAGCTGTGTACCCAAGCGGCTCGCATGCCAGTTTCAAGGTTGCGCCATCTATGAGCCATGAGCTATCAATTTCGGATGCGATTTCTGGTCGTATTAATTTAGAAAAAAGCTTTCCTATATTCATTTTTGGTTGTTTTAGATTTCCTGAACATAAGGAATATACCTCCTCAAATTGAGATCTGAACAATGTATGTGATGTTTATTATTTGTTTGTTTACTTTATCTGCCAAGAAGAAAAAGTATTCACACATATTTAGTATGATCGCAATGATACCTTAAAGTGACTCCTTTCAGCTTCCTTTTGTTTCTTTAGATTTAATTCGGGATAATCTTCAGCGACAGGCAGCCAGGTCGTCTCATTAGTGGAGAAGCCAGCGCTCGTAGTATCGTCCCAGTGGTATGGTGTCCTGGCTGGATCTCTCGAGTATAACATGTAGGTCTCATTGTCACCCCTGTTTAGGGCCTCCACGTCTACCGTGTCTTCCCAGCTGACATACCCGTCCCTCAAGCCGATCTCTTCACCCTGATACGTCACTGCTACTCCTGGTAGCATCATGTTGACGGCATTCAATCCATCCACCATATCATGGCGAAATCTTGTTGGCATTCTGTTGTTGTCGTGATTACCGAACTGAAAATTAGAGTGATCTTTTGAAATTGTCCTGAAACTTATAATTTTACTTATATTTGAAGTTGATGTATTATAAAGATCTAGCTTTTATCAACATTTAGGATAGCAATGTCCAACAACAAAGAAGAAACCATGAAAGACTAGTTTTGAAATTCGTCCCTAAAACTCAGATTTCAAAATAGCAGTTACGCCATGTGCCAAAAATATATATAACAAAATACACAATAATTTCAAACAATTACCGTTTATCCGATTTAAATCTACTTTACGTAAATGGAAAACTTTACGTTAAGAAATGGCATTTTATTCTATTGATGATTTTTTAAACCATGATACTAGATAAATTAATACGCCAACGCTATATAGGTTAACACAAAGTTTAATTGCAAATCATATAGATTTGTTTTGACGTTATTAATTACGAAATTCCTTATCTTGACATTTATTACTGTGACATTTAATCTTGGAAACGAAAATGAATATGGTAATTTTAGTAAATTTGTTAATTTTGTATAATAATTGTATTTAATTAATTTTGATAATAATTTGACTTTTTTTATCGGTAGTGAAAAATTAATTAAATTTAATATTTGCACGCTATCTCTGTATGGCTAAATAGGTTTTAAGTTCTTATTATATTTTAATTATTTACTTTCAAGTTGTACCCTTTTTAAAGGAAAATAAATATCTATTCTATTCTATATTAGAACTTAAGCAATACTGACGACCAATTTAAAGGATAATATTATATCAATATGAAATTATCTACTCACGACCCAGTTAGCTACTGCGCGGTAGGGCATGTACGTCAGCCATCTCAGGATGGTATAAACGAAATCCCTGGCGTTGGACTCTGCATTTAGTTCAGTGATGAAATCGAAGTTGAAGGGGAAATGTGCTCCGATGTCACCTGCCTCGTTGCCGTAGTAGAGCATCGTCATAGAAACGTTGGCGTAGGCCTCCGAAAACAGTACCCTAGAACAGAAGATCATAAAACATTGTTAGCGAAATGTAGATATGACTTGAACGAAAAAGAGAATCAGGTGATATTATCATTGAAAAAAATCTTAAAACCGACCAATTAATTTCGGAAAAACCTTAATTAAATTTTAATTTGTTTTTTAAGTGTCGATGATATTTTTAATACTGACTATGAATTAAAATTATTTTACCAGGAGACAATTTTTATGCAAGGATCATTATCAACAGCCCTTTGTACGTACACATTACAGAGGCTCAGGCCTCCCTAATCAATGGTTAAGAAGGATGGGTTATGGCCATCCATGCGGATTGGAGGATATTAGCGACTTCAAATGCAGCTGGGAACAATGGCTTAAGTTCTTATGAAGCACGGAGTAGCTTGTAATAACTTTCTGGTCACAAATTCCTTGTGAAAGTTGCTTTACAACAATATTAGCGACCCGTGGCGCTTACCCATTACACCACCGAGCTACTTTAAGCAAGGATATTTGTTATCTAAAGTGTACAGATACTTAGAGACAAACGTTTTATGAGCTCTGAATCTACATTGATTAAGAGCACATAATACATATGTATTAATATCCAAAGGAAAGTTTTATTTTTTTTGCTTGCATTGCATAGGCTCCAAAATTACTGGACCGATTTTAATTTTTTTTTCCACCTACTCGAAACTACATCGTAATGTGTGACATACTAAATGTAAAACTTTGTGGGGATATATGTCTGTTTGTTTTTCACGTAAAAACATATGAACGGATTTTGATGAAATTTGGTTAATAAAAATTTTAACTTTAGATATATAAGCTAATTGTTATTCCACAAAAAGTGGTTCTCTAGGGATAAAAGTACCATCAAGGAAACAAGTAAATCTCGGCGAAATCGCGAGAATGCAGCTAGTCTGTGATAAAGCATTGAAAGTTTTAAAGAAGTCTGAAGCGATCGCTTTTATAATGTTTTCAGTATAAAGCTGTATAACTTGCAAAGATAAAAGTTTGACAAACAATAAATGTATCACAAGTGAAACGCGTGATCGATAATTATCAGAGTAAAAACCCTAAGTAACCTAATAGTAGAAACCCTAATAAGGGCACAAATTACTTCAAACAAATCAAATAGGTATATAGAAATCAATAATATCTGATTACCTACCTGGTGGTACCTTGGTGTTTCTTGTTATAATCATCAACGAAATCCCTCCATTCGTACACTATTGGATACAACTCTATCAAATCTTTGGTATATAGTGGAATGGTGTAACCTAATTGGTGTGGTTCAAATTGCATAATGCCACTGAGCGGATCATCAGGATATCTTCCATCATGGTCTGCGGGATCAGCTTCCATGAGATATGGTAGGGCGTCTACTCTAAATCCGTCAGCACCTTCGTCTAGCCAGAATTTCATGATGTTGAACATCTCGTCTTTGACTGCTTGGTTCCTAAAGTTAAAGTCTGCTTGTACTACAGCAAACTGATGAAGGTAGAACTGTTGACGTTCCTCGTTCCATTCCCACGCGGATCCACCGAATTGACTGACCTACAAAAATACAAAATGGTGGAATAATAACGATGCTCGCTTTTTAGGAATAATTAAACTGTTCTACTCTTATGCAATTATCTGAATGTAAATAACGTGTCTGATGGTGTGTTATGTTATATCCGTATAAAAAATAAATTTTGGTTTGTGATTCAGAGTTGTTATGTTATCTTGTTCCAACTTCGTCGTTTTGGAGTGAACTGTATTGAATTTTCATTTTTTTTTAAATTTACCTTTTTCCCTTTAAACTCTACTCCCGTAACTGAATTGATTGTAATCTGATAACATAGTCACTGTCGTGATACCAAATTTTACATGATCTATAGAATTTTAGTATTTCGTAGATTAATATTAAAAATTCTATCATGGGTGATATAACTTTTCCACACATTTGTTTACTTATTACAGTCTATTTGACTTTTATTGTTCTTCACAATGAATTTGAAAAAAACATGGTTTTATGAAATCATACTGTTGAAGATTATCCGTGCATCAGAGACAGTGTTCAGGTCTTATCTCCGTTTTATCATAAATTATATCAAGAAATGCGTTGCTTTCGAAAATAGACGAAATTTCGTTTTCAAACAAATAGAATAGAACTTCAAATGTCAATTTAATTAGTATGGTTCGTGTGAAAAGACACGACGCATTTTCTTTATCTTATTTCCGTCAAATATGCACCGACCCAATGGAATAAGATTAATATTTACATACCCAGTTCGAGGGTGGCAGTCTGTTGGTCTCGTTCTCCGGGTCGACCCACAGTGGATCAGCCCACATGAAGAAGTCTTTATATGTAGGGTCACCGGCCACAGATTTCTTGAAGTATTCTGCTTCAGTACTTGCGTGATTCGGCACAAAGTCCAAAAGTACTTTGAGACCTGTTTAATATAAGTAAAACATAATTTAGTACCATATTACATACCGTAATCTAAAAATATATATAACTCAAAGGACTGACTGACATAGTGATCTATCAACGCACAGCCCAAACCACTGGACGGATCAGGCTGAAATTTGTCATGCAGGTAGTTGTTATGACGTAGGCATTCGATGTTATGACATAGTACATAAGAAAGGATTTTGATCAATTCTACCCCCAAGGGGATAAAATAGGGGATGAAAGTTTGTATGAAACTTTTGTCAATTTTAAACCGATCGGGCTGAGACTTTGCATGCAAAAAACTACTATGACGTAGGCATCCTAAGAGGACAAAATAGGGGATGAAAGTTTGTATAAATCTTCTTAGATTTTTGACTGATTGAACTGAAATTAAAGATTGGAGCTACTATGACGAAGACGTCCGCTTAAATAGGATTTTGATAAATTTAGCCCCCATGGGGAGAAATTAAGGGATGATTGAGGATGTAAATGTATTAGTACCTAATCGAACTAATAAATAAATATTCGTTAGAAATGTTGCTCAAAACGCGAACGAAGTCGCGGGCAGAAGCTAGTGATAAGATAAAAAAGAATTGAGCTGAAAGATAATATCATTATAAAAGTTGACAGGGGGGGGCATGTTCTGCTGTTTTGGATATGTGAAAAAGTGCAGCATGAAAGATTTATATAGGTACAATGGCAATGCTTCCACTTTCCTTGGATTTGATATTTCGGATGTTGAAGTCAGGGGACGTCAGAACTCATAATCAGAAGTCTCGTGTATTATTGAAAGCCGTAAATAAAGCCAGTTGACTATAGGCTGTAATACGAGATCTAGAAATTATAAATATTTAGATTGTTACGGTGCGTCATACCACACCATATATATTGTTTTAGGTTCCCGCATCTAAAGTTTTTGTCTCTGATCTTTAAGATCATTCCTCTTTTAATATTCGTTTTCCACAATTTGATTTTTTATGAAATACGTCATGCTCAATCTAAATGTCATAAAAAAATCTGCCTTTTCATTTGTCTACAAACGTTTTAAGCTAGCCCGGACCCGTAACAATATATCGCACTCTTAGATCTAAACTAAGACAACTCAAAAAACTAATGTGGAGGTCTGACAATACATTTGTTTACGTGGCAGGAGCGTGACCACTGTTGATTCGAAAAAAGAAAGCTAAAGTTATCTAGCGGCTCATCCCCGACCCTTTATTGAATCTGTTATGCTGGATAGATGCGTATGATCATCGAGAATTTAAATATTGTACTAAGTCAAAACTCACTCAAATTTTTGAGTTAGATCTAGGTGTGCGATATAATTGGTTATCTGCATTACCTTGGAAAACGTGTTTATTAAAAAAATAAATCCACTTTATTTTGAATTTGTAAAGCTGCTTTTGAATTGTGGTTTCCAGGTATGGAACCTTTGTGGGATCTGCGGTCTCTTACAATTTAATGGATTGTATGCGGAAATATAAAATGTGACCACACGTAAGAACACTGCCCATTTGTTTTATTTGTACTTTATTGAAAATTTAAGTCGTTTGATGAATGTGGTGATAATTTCATTTAATAAAGTGAAAATCTGTACTTGATCAGTTTTACTTATCTGTTAACAAATAGAATTGCAGATAATAGCGATTAGTAAAAGTTAAGAATGCTATCTACTGAAAATCGTTAGGTTTTCGATTATTAAAAATTGTAATGGAGTTTTTTCTTTTTTAGAATACCAACATGATAACTTCTTACCATCATAATACAATAGAACTTGCTGTTTTTTTATATACTGGGATACAATTATATTATTAAAAAACAAACCTATTTTTTATTATTATATGCTTGTTGCAGACTGCAACTATCAATTCCAATGAAAATATTTTTTATAATATAATAACTATTTTAGTATTTTAGTTACCTACTTAATTATCATCTTTAATGAGGAAGTATTAAAAAAAAAAATGAAAGCATTAAAAAAGCACCTCCACTAGATGGCGATTCTAGCAAAAGTTGATTTTTGCAGGAAACGAATGGACCAAAGATAGTCGTTTCCGTTCCTTTTAATTAACACATTAAAAAACTAAAATTTGAAAAGTTCGAAACTTAGATATCAATACAAATACGAAAAAGTAGAAATAGAATATGAGTATATTGAGTTCCGAAAACTAATTTACTTTTAAACTTGAAAGAAAACCGGAAAGGTTGTCATGAAGAAATCAAGAACGTAGCGACATCTAGTTTGATTTGGGAAACTAAAGTTTTTAGGTACTAATTAGAGAAATGCATAGGTACTTTTTACAAGCTTTAGCAACATTATTATTTATTTAAATAAGAAACATGTATATTTTCGTGAAATATTTACAAAGTTTTATCTATTACGGAGAACTCAGAAACGGGTTATTCTTATTGCCCCTTTTTTCATTGCAAATATTCAAGCTTAGTCTGCCTTTTATTTATTTGCCTAAGCATCAAACCCGTCACAGGCTGGTGATGATATTCAGACCAACGGTAAGCGGAAAGTTAATCTATAACGTTATTTAATTCAATAAGGCACTAGATAAAATTGTAATCAGATGACCTTCACTGATAAATACACATGATTCTTCATTAATATTTTAATCAAACTGTTATCTTTAATAATCAAATAATTTGGCTATATCATGTAAAATTAATGTGGGTGAAATTTCTCGTGTCGTGAAATTGATTGCAATATATTTATTTTAATAGTGCTATTATTTTAAAGCTTTAGATAATGTATATTTAGGGTACAATAGGACTGTCATATCTTAAAGATAAAAGTCCTTAAAAAATAGAAAAAAAAATAGTGCTGTGGAATCCAAGTTCGATGTTTAACACAGATTCACGCATTACTTTCTTTTCTCGTCGTCGCCGTTCGAAGTCAAAAACTATTTTCAATTTTAGAGGTAACTATGTATCTGGGAAGTATTCATAAATATCGTGTCGGTAATATTTCCATTTTTAATTACAACTTATTTGTAAAAAGAGTTTGGCACAGTTAAAGCGCCATGCTTTTTCGTCCACCCGTAAAAAGGTGTTCAATTCAAAGATCTTGTTTAAGTTTAACGTACATATATTGTAGGTCAGGTCGATAGGGTCAGTACGTGGAGTGCGGGCGACCTCTGCGCGTTAATCTTATTGGTCGATAAAACAATGACCGCCCAAAGAAAGCGGGAAAATGAAATCTGTCGCACGCCACACGCGCTGATCACCGACCAGCGGGTCAATTATTCCAATGTTTACTTAATACTCGCATTTCTATAAACTATTTACATTTTAACCATTGTATTACTATCTACCTCAATTCCAATATTATAAGTGCAGTGTCTTCTTCGCATATCAGTGGTGACAGATAGATATATAATAATATTGGACTTCAGGTAGATAGTACAATAGGGATTAAGACTAATTTTTGTTTGCTTGTCCGTCAGGTAGAGTGTTAAAAAATATTAAACACGTATTTTTTTAATTTTTCTCGTAACCATAAAATTATGGCGTTACATTGAGTTGAAATTTCGCGTGACGTCACGTTAGAGTACGTTTTCTACTCAACTGTGACGTAGCGAGCCCCCACTCCTCAACTTTATTGCCTGTTATCTAAGCTATTTCTTGTTAAATTGAAGTAAAAAAAAATACGTATCTAATATTTTTCTATTATCTGACTGACGGACTAAACAGAATTGCATTTTTTTACCCAGTCATCATCCCTATTGTAAGATGCAAGTAATTAATTCTATTTAGGTGCTCATTATTACGTTAACATTAACAGAATCGCCCTGTTTATCATCGACCAGTGTGAATACGCCATAATAACGCTCACCTATGGAACGCCGTAACGCCACATCGGTCACCGTATTATTGAGACAGTCACATAGGCCCATATCTGATCTTCGCGAGAATAGATATTAGTAAAAGAGCCGGAAAAGTTTCTCACCGAGTTCATGCGCCTTCTTCAGTAGTTCCCTGAAGTCATCCATGGTGCCGTACTCGTAGTGTATGTCGTAGAAGTCGCTGATGTCGTATCCGAAGTCCACCATGGGCGAGGTGAAGATGGGGGACATCCATATGGCGTCAACACCAGCGTCTACGAAGTGCTCCAGTCTGCTGGTGATGCCTGTGATAGGTTTAAATTGAACCATCGGTTTTGAACCATCTTCATCTATCTATACCGGTGTTTTTCAAACCTTTTGAATACACGACCCTATTGAGGTTTAAAAAATTTTGACGACACACTGATGCTATATAAAATCAAACAAATTGTTATATAATTAAAAGACTACATTTATAACATTCTTTATTTCGACACGTAAAATTTCTTCAATAATATTTCAAAAATGGTACCACGATTTGATATTTTATTGAAGAACAAACAAGTCCATCGTTTTCACAAAAAAGAAAACTTTATAATGCAGAACCTTTTGAAAATTACTGAAAAACTAATATAATGAGTAAAAGAGTAGATAACTTTCAGAATGGATGTCATTAAGCCATTAAAATTACTGAGTGTGAATCAAATTCACAGTTTAGGGCATATTTAATTATTCTGATGGTTAGTGAGTTGTTCTTTTGGATACAACACTTAGTTTATCGCGATATAAATGTAAAAATGGGATCGCTATATAATGTTTTGGACACTTATTTTTATATAGCTATTTATTATAGTCGCAAGGTACGTTGCTGTCACAATTATAGAATGAGCAGGATGCATCATGCGTCTTCTACATTTACCAACAATTTAGCAGCATCATTGTGACGATTTGTTAGTCGGCAAGGTTACTTTTAAAATAGATGATTACTGATTGTGTCATTCTTGTGATGTGCGCACGATTTATTTCAAATTATTCAAATATTTTGGTATTAATATATAATGACAGTTACTTGAAAAATTTGAGTAGATATTTTGTTCATTGAGTGTTCGACTGGTTAGAAAAAGGTCATTGAATCAAGTCCTATTTCGACCATTATAAGGTATTTTTGTTAGAGTGTTTCCGAATAAATAATAAACATTATTATGTTGGATAAATTTTCCATTCACAATGCTATACTGGAAAATGTTCTTAATGCAAAATGGTTAAAAAAAGCCACCAGTCCTAGGTACTCTTAGATGGGACACAGATCCACTACCTTTCGTAATCCGGGCGCTGTTCTAGCCACTGAGCTACCCAGGACCTAACAGGACTGATAATATATATTATTTATTCAGAAACACTCTAACAAATATACCTTAAAATAGCCGAGATAGGACTTGATTAAATGGTCTTTTGCTTTTGCTATTTTTTAAGCACTTTTCATTAAGAATATTGCTCAGATTCCTAGATAAGTAGCTTAATTCCATTTTATACATTGATCGGGAATCGAATAAATGTCATGTTATTTACCTTTCAAGTCACCGATTCCATCACCATCACTGTCCATAAGAGATCTCGGGTAGATCTGGTATAGCACGCAGTGTTGCCACCAATCCAGGTCAATCAGCTCTGGTGGCTCAGGGGGCGTTTCCTGTGATGCTAACACGGCCCATGTTATGCTGCCTGCCAACACAAAAACATTATTTGTATAATTTTAATCTTCTTCTTGATGGTTGGAAAAAAGTTGGACGTATACAAAAAGTATTCACTCTACTACTTAGTTTCACTTCGACTTTGAAGAATTAATTGTTTTCACATAACTTATCTGTTTTTCAGTTACATATTAAAGGAATGTAAATTACTCTGAAAGATTTGATGGTATAATTATCAGCATCAATGTTCAAGGACTAATATTGTAAATACAATTATTTAATACGTTTTAATCTGTTTCAGTTTTATGACTGAGAAGATTCAGTGAAAATATAAATTAAAATTTGTTAGCTAGAACTTTATAGTAAAAGTAATAATTTTATGCAAATCAAGTACAATTCTAATTCTGTAATCTGTAACGTCTAAAGATAATTTTAATTCTATGTCAAAATTATAGGCGACCACCAAGAAAAGGGAAAATCCTCAAATTTTTTTATAGTAATGATGAAATTAAAAATTTAAGCGACAAAACATGTATCACTTTACAAACCTGGCGATGCTTGATATGACAGTAGTGAAATGGGCTAAACTAGCGGAAGAAATTACTGTAAAAAAACATTGTAATAACATTGCTATTACGCAAATTAAAGTTTGCTAAAACTAAATGAGCATGAAATTTGCAAAACATCTTATTTTAATTTTATATAACAATATGTTTTATTATAATTAGTTGTGTTTTTACCTATGACAAGCCCCAGGCTGATGAGGACCGCTACAACAATGCCTACAATCTTCAACGTTCTCATTGTGACTGTGGCCGAACTGCGCGGGAGTCGGTCACTCTTATTTTATCGTCGCTTACCACAGTGCTCTACTAATCGACGATTTATCTGAATTTTATCAATTATCGATTAACACTGAAGCCGAAATTCTTTATATATCCATTTTTTATGGATATGACAATTTATCATTCGAGATCGACCGACTGATTGAGGAATTATGCGTCATTTGGGTCTCATTTGCGATATCATAGTATAATGTTCAGATAAATGGACACGAGTGATGGTATGGGACTATTGTTTTATGTTTTAAAAAAATCCATCAAAGGTTTATATGTGTGCGTGTAGTTTTGACAAATGATTATTTAATTTTTTTAACAATTGACGTTTCGAATCCATTATAGGTGCTGTTTACGCAGACATGACCAAATTCACTTCGTAGATCCAGACATATACATATATACTTTATGAAACCAAGGGGACCGCGGAGCACATTCGAAAAACATTGATCTAAAATAAAGTGTGTCTCGCTAATCGGTTAATGTAATTGTTCACTACGTTAACAGCGTTTCTATACGAAATTGATTCTACGATGTTTTTCGAGGGCATTAATCTAAGTCGACTCTGAACTAATTAATCACGGGCCCGAGCAAAAAGGCTGATAGGGCAACGCTGTCGATGGCAGGAGCGGTCGACGAATATGAAATGGGCCCCTTCGCAAATATATACGGCCCCCATTTTTCTGTACAGACAAAAGAATTTAGGGTCGAAGAGTTAGTCGGTAATATGTTTGTCTTGCCAGTCCTTTGTCTATATGCCTACGTACAAGTAGAAAAGCTATGATAGACATTTTTAAGAACTATGTTTGTTTATTGATTTTAACCGTATTAAAAGTATATTATTATTTTTTATGAAAAAATAAACCTGCTCAAAGATATCTTTCGTCTTTTACTAAGCCTCAATCCTATATTCCGTCATAGTAAATTAAATGAATGCGATGATTTGATTGTGAAGGCGTAGTAAATAGTTAAAAAATAATTATAGAAATATTTTTAATATGTCAAATAAAACAATAATCAGAAATACAAAAATTATTGTGCACGTCGCTGGGGCATTGCAGGTCTTTCCTATTTATGGAAGCAAATAGGGAGATTCAATAAATAATAGGGAAAACAATAATATTCTATAATTTTTTAATGTAAAGAAATATGTAAGTAATCCAAAATACTTACAACCGTTTTCACTAACCTGGAACGTGGCATAGCCAAATAAACATTTTTTTTCTATTATTCCTTGAAATATTAGTGATCTGCTATAACAATAAAATACCTAGTGCTAGGCGCCGCATGACGTATTTCATGTCTTTAGACATTGCTTAATCTGTTTAATTGCATTGTTAGGTGGCACCTAGTCATTGGTAAAATGCATATTCACCTTAGGAGATCACTAAATATTTAGGCGACAGATCTGAGCGACTCCTAAGTTTAGTGAAAACGGGCATTAGTCATATACGTTGATGATGAATTGTTATTAAGCAGAAGGAAATATATATTTAAAAATAATAATTTTCAGTATACCATTATGAATGCAAAATTAATAAAATAAAATAATGTTAATTTAATTTCTATTAGCTTTTAACCAATTACCACCAGTAGCTCAGATACCGTGGAAGTGTATAATGTTTATATTTCTACGCGAGTGCGTCGTTCTGTTTCGTGTGCCCATGTACCTTCCTTCCGCTTATATCTGTACAGCGTGAGCTGCCGACAACGTTTTGCGTGACCTCGTTTGTCCACGGTAAGGTCTCAAACAATATCAGCGGTCCAGCAGACTAGTGATAAGTGGTTAAATATTTTTTTGTAGTTTGTTTGCTAGATGACTAGAAAAACATACGTCAGATGAAAAGGATCTAGTAGATGGTGTTTACCGATATTAAGTTGATATTAGTGACGACACACTAGAAGAAATTAGCGGATCTGATTCAGAGATCGATTGTGAGAAAGAATGTCCATTTTTATGCGAATATTAATAGTGAGTAAGTGGAAGAACCAATCTTCAGAGCAGAACTTGCCAAACGTATCGTCTGTTCCAATTTTGTGTACATTTACTGGATCAGAGATGCCCTAACTATTCTCCGGGCAGTCGAATATACCGATATCAACATTCTATTGATTACTCGATGTGCCACCTCTAACGCTTATTAGCTTATCAACTCAAGAACAGAAAAAAGAAACCTCATCCCACTTTATCGAGAAGTAGACGGGACATCTCACAAGACCTATATGTAGCGAATATAAAAAAACAGGATTTCAAAATTGCTCTTTGTCAAATCCTGCAAATAATGAAACGGACACTGCAGCAGTTACAGGTGGTAGCTGTGATAAGTACATAGATTTTGCTCAACTTGTAGCAAGAAGAAAAAACGCAAAACCCACTAAAGTAAAACTCTGTCTCAAAAGTCGGTAAATCTGCTGCGAAAAATCGAAAATTACCAAGTTGTAATATTATAGAAAAAAATATATATTGGTTAAAAAAATATTTTCCTTCTGTTATATTATCAGTAAACATTGGAAAAAAATTGAAAGTAAATAGTATTTCGAGGTTATATTAATTTTGATTTCAGTTACCGAATAGGTCGTAGTCGTATCCGTAGCTTTTATTAAAATTTATAATCTACCAAGAAATTCACTTTTTTCCAAAAAGGTTGGTTCCATTTTTTTTTCATTTAATAAACACTGTGTACTTTAGAAATGCCGTTAATCCGTTATCTTTAAACATTCGTCATATTTAAGCTATTTAATGCGCGTGATCTCCTAGACCGAAGTAGTTACGTAAGAAAAGTAGTAGTAAGTGGCTAATAGCTATTCATTAACATAAACGTTTATTTTTTTTAAATGTGACGCAACACCAAATTTATTGTGAGCCCTACACATTTAGCGATGTCAATAATACGCATTTCTGAAACTGTTAACTTTATAAATAAATAAATTAAACAGAATTTGGATGAAAGTAATTATTTTCAGAGAAAACACAATTCATATTTTAAAATATTTGCTCTGTTTCATTAATAAAAAAGTTTGCGTCATGCATATTTGCATTTTCTAAACTTTTCTTCACTTATTTTGGCTTTGACGAGACCTTTTACATCGTGCGGCCGTGGGCGGGCGCCTCTCGCCCACGCCTTACGCTGGCTCTGTCCAAAAATATATTTAGCTAATTATTAGTTAAATTCAGTCATTTTCCTTTCTGTCTGAGTCTGATATGTTTCGTTAGATGTTTGATAAAATTATATTCAAATTCTGATATAGAAAACCCCACAAACTAACGTCTTTTAATACATAGATAACGAATTCAAAAAACTTTGATGTGAAACGACTATTTAGAGCTTTGTTAAACATTTGTTATTAACCACCCCACTTCTAAAGTTTCACGAAGTTTGTTAGTCACCTTCTTGGTTTGTTTCAATATTTTAAGTTTATAATATATAGATATTTTGAATATAAGTCTGCTATATTCGATAAGTAATAAACAAATTTTTGAAAGCACTAGAGCTAAAAAGAAATCTGAAAGAGTGAATAAGTGAAAATGGCTGCACGTAAGTTTAGGTTGTTAAATTTATCCAATGGATTTTGATCTCCACCCACAATATAAATAAAGGTTTCAAATCGAGTTTTACATAATCTGACGTGCTGTTGACTGTACTAATGATAACTTTAATTCAAAGTATTGAAAAATTTATGGAACCCTTCTCAGAGTTGGTAACTCTTTGAAATTTGTGCAAACCGAGGATTGTTCTTTTTATTTAATACGTCGGAATTATATAAAACGAACAAGCCTCGTTTTTGATTTTGGTTTAAAATGTAATATAACAGAAATTTCATGAAAACTTTTGTAAAGAATTATTTCGAATTGTGCTAACAGGAACAATCTGACAGTATTTATATTTATACCATAGTTAGTGTATCAGCCCGTGCCAATTAAAATCGAGCAAACAATTATTTCTGCCCTTTTCTTTCCTTTAAATAAGAAATCCTGAAACAACTAGCTAAATACTGTTTTTTTATAGACATAGCTTTTAAACTAACACTGAGTTTACAAACTTACCCTTAAGTGGAGAATTTCGAGATATGTTAGTGATCACCAGTGGTCGGAATTAGGTAGAGTTATTCATGTACTTACACTGATTTCATACAGCGAAAGAATAAAGTGGATATGCCTCAAATCCCGAGATTAATTTTAAAGAGCAGAAAAAATCCCGTGATTTTTTAAATAAAAAGTTATTTACTTTTACACAATTTAATCTACTGCACGCACGACGTTGCCAAACTTACATCAATGAAAGAAATAAAGAAAGAAGAAATAAAGAAATCCCGGGAAGGTCCACATTAATATCAACATTTCGATGCAAGTACATAAATAACTCTACCTAATTCCGACCTCTGGTGATCACCTAAACTGTAAATTAAGCATGGTGTAAAATTTCAAGTTTCTAATTCTAGCAGTTTGGTAGAGCATTGCTACGTCAGGAAATAAGTTTTCATTTATATATTTAGAAGAAAATTTAATATTGTGATATCAATGCCCCCATTTTCTTTAGTTCGTTTGTCCGCCCAATAACATAGTTTGATGGCAAATGGCCCCTTGTCCCCATGGCGGAAATAATCGGAAGGAGTTTCCTTTTGGTACCGGCATTGCATTGTGATGCGACCAGCGTCCGCCCATTATAACGTCGTATACCAAACTTTGGGTATCATTGTACTCATAGAAATTAATATTTTGTCGTATGATAAATTGATTGTGTAGGAAACATGACCCAGTTTTGGTTTTGCTGCTTTATAATAACTACGTAGCTTCTGTTCATGATTTAGTTATTATCTTTTACTTCTAATATTGATTTCTTTATAAATAATACTTTATTTTTTTATTTATAGCGTGACCACGAGTATTTAGGATAAAAATGGAAATCAGTGCTTTGTTCTTTGAGTAAAATACTCACTGCTCACTCAATACTCACTGAGTTTTTGCCCAATTGCGTCGCTGCAGTACACATGCTATTGATTATCTTGCTATAGTTATAATTCTCTTCTATTTTCTTTCTTTTTTATTTTATTATGGAATTTATTTTTT